CCAGTGTATACCGTTAGCGCAGGCGGGGCTACCATACCATTATCATCCGTTACAAAACAATGATGTCCAGCAAAGAAAAACCGCCTTCAATAGTGATAAAATCTGTTATTTTAATTTTTAAACTAAACTATTGACCGAGGTTGATAGTTTTTATGGAACTGATCTGCAAATATATCCTTAATTAATATAAAAAAAAAAAAAATTAAAGTCTGTCTACAACTGACGGAGTTATGTGGTATAATACGAGTATATAAATAATGGGTGGCGTTATCGCTGAGAGCGATCTCTTGCAGGCAACCTTTGGATGGAGAGGAGTAATTATAAACAGTTTGACTGGAGGCATGAATGTAAGAAAGACTCTGTTTTCCGCACTTAGCCTCTCATTTGGGCTGTTGTGCGTTGCCGCTGGAGGCATGAAACTGTGTTCGTTTTTTAAATACATATTGAGATATACATACGTACAATAATGTTTACCAGAGGGAGACTTTGTACAAAAGTCGATTGCTTGGTCACCTCTGTTCCATTCGTGTTTCTATCGTGAAGCTGTTGTGTTTGCATGGCGGTGTTTCAATTTAAAGGGTGGGATATGGTATGAATTTACAGGGTACAGAGAAATAACACCTTAGCCCTCAGGAATGGCAACGCATGGGGGGTATCATGGGCGAAATAGTATACTCTGTTATGTCCATGGTACTGCTCATGTCTATAGGCGACGGTTACCACTTCCCATCAGGTGGGCTGTCAGCTCGTTTACCATTTTAAGTTGTATAAAAAATGTTAGTATAAATGTACATAAAAAAGTTTTTTTCCTACAGAACCGACAGTTCCGTGATATACCTCGCATTTGGTTTAAAATATAGATATAATATAGCTATATGTATACATAATTCGACTAACAGTCTCCGTGTACTTAACTTTTTATATGTTTTTAATCATTTTTGCGATGAACTTTGAATTCTTCGTGCCCGCTGGCCGGGGTTGCCAACACTCCTGGATTGTCCTGGAGACTCCGGTAATAATGGTTAACCCGTCGATCTCCCGGAGTGTAATAACCTCTCCGGATTTTTTTTTTATTAAATGCATCCGTCGCTACTCACTCGCTTCTCTAATGCTCCATGCGAGCGTGTATTCAGCATGGTGGAGCAAGTATGGAGTAATGAAAGAAACCAAATGAGAGAGTTACAAGTACTAACAATTGGATATTTGGGTTTCTCATTCTAAAATTTTTGTGGTGGAAAACCGTCAATTTTTTTTATATGTGAAAATGGAATGGTTACCCCGGCCGCGCTATCGGTATACACCGAGAAGGTACCAGTGGAAAATGATAGGTGAGAATAAACGGTCAGTTGAGCTACCATGATGAATTCGACAAGAAATAACCATGATGGTTTCCAGGGGAACCGCGTGGAGGTCGACCTGACAGGGTATATTGCTAGCAAGAGGGCTATTAGACCCCATTACTAACAATCCTTTTACCCCAATCGACAAATATTAGATGCTGTTCGAAAACTCGAAAATTAATGTTTTCCCTCCTCCCCTCTCGATAAAATTCTAACACATAAAATACTCCCGGTCGGTCTTATCGAGAGTTGGCAACCCTACTGTTGGCGGTGCCGACAACATAACCGAGTCTAAATTTAACTGGATTTATAGAATATTGATTAAAACTATACGCAACCCGCGGCTTCGGTCGTAGTCTTATTGTGATGTTGAATGCCTATCTATAACTTGTTATCAGAGACGAGAAGGGATTGTTAAATGTGAGGATTAGTATCTCCATTGCTAGCAACACACCCTGTCAGGTCGACCTCGCCGCGGTCCACCCTGGAAACTATCGTGTTCTATTCACGATGGGCTAACTGATCTGCTCTTTCATCCTCACCTGTCAACCCTCACTGGTGCCCCGCCAGTGTATACCGATAGTGCAGGCGGGGTTACCATTCCATTATCACCTATTAAAAAAAACCTTGTTATCAAATGAAATAAAATCTGACTGGTAATTCCAGGGTTTTTTTTGATGAGTGAAAATGGTATGGTAATCCCGCCTGCGTTAACGGGATACGCTGGCGGAGCACCAGTGAAGGGTGATAGATGAGAATGAAAACAGGCCAGTTTGCCCATCATGATGAATTCATCAGGAATTAACCATGATAGTTTCGAGGGGAACCGCGAGGAGGTCGACCTGATAGAGTTTATAGCTAGTAATAGGATTGCTAATCCCCATTACTAACACTGCATTAAAGTTTACATAAATAAATAAATTACAAGAAATGATCGCACGATGATGAAAGTATGCCGACTATTTGGATTTCCCTGTGTAGGTACAGGACGGGGACAGGCTTCCAAGCGGCAAGACTGGCCGCGCGGCGGCGCCGCGGCGTGGCCGGACTGGATGCTGTTTGTAATGAGGTTACAAAACACGTCGCACGTCGGGTAAAGCCCGCGCCGCGCCTCCGCCTCCTTCCGCCGCCGGCCGCTCACCGGCTCATTACTGGATTCTACTTTTCTATTGATTGCTAAATACGCGAGTTACGTATTTAGGACCTACTGAAAATCAGCGTCGTAGTTTCAGATATGAAACTGCGACATATGCTGAGTTTTTTTTTAATGGATGAAAGTGGGGTTACCATGCTATCACTTGCGTTATCGATATACACTAACGGGGTATCAGTGAAAGGTGATAGGTGAGGATGAATAGGCAGGTCAGTTAGCCCACTGTGACGAATTTAACGATAAATTAATCATGATTATTTTCAGGGGGAACCGCGTGGACGTCGACCTGTATATTGTTAGATATACGGCCGTATAACCCCACCAAATTCAGATACAACCTGCTCGCATACTTTCTACGTAAACTGTGTCCAATATATAATAATCTACTAGCGTAAAATTTGTTATTGTCAAATAATTGACATATCAAACATTTTCTATACACTGGCCTGCTATGAATTGACAAGAATAGCAACTGATGGTGTATCTTTCGTCATCTTTTTACTAATTCTATTTGCATAAAAAGAATGGAGGCAGCCGTATGATTTACAGTTTTTATTTTATCATTCCTTCTGTGTAATTCCTTGTTCTTAGGGCTATGTGCCACTTGTAAGAACAATAAAAATTGTACTACAAATATTTGGCTTGTGGTCTTTTTGATATTTCTCCTAGAAAACCAACTCCATAAAACGTATAACCTGTTTTAGCTATTGAGATGTTTTGTCCTTTTCTTAAGCGCTGAATTCTCAATTTACAAGACAACGACGGAACACTTCCATAGTTACAAGACTGGGTTCCACAAGAAAAAGAAAACCGACTTCAATAGTGGCGCAATAAAAATTTTCTATTTAAAAAATTTAGTTATGTATTTTAATGTAACAATCTGCAAGTATAAGTGCTTTCAGGTGAAAAAAGAACCTTCCGAATCGGTCGAGGCGTCTTCGAGTAATCGGTAACATATGTACAATAATATATTAAAGGTTCCTGCGGATTCAGAATCTCCTTCTTTTTTTAAGTCGGTTAAGAACAGGCTCGTAGAAGGTTGCAGTTTTTATGAATAAAAGAGCAGTGTTATTAATATTTTTCACGCATTCACGCTCAGGTTATGGAATGAGCTCCCTGTCGAGGTTTTTCCAAGAAACTACAGCATGGGGTTCTTCAAAAAAGGGCTAAAAAGCCCTCTAGGTTTCTTCAGGGTCGACAACGTGCGCGTAATGCCCTTGATATTGCACGCGATCATCACGGTGGGCCGTAAGCTTGTGTGCCACCTTAATGGTATAAAAAACATTCACGGTTAAAGGGGTTTAACCTTGTTCTAGATTTTAATAAAATTTGTTATACAAATAGGTTATATGTATTTTAACTTATCACACTATATACGTACTGATTTCACGCGAGCAAAGCCGCGAGAGACAGCTAGTCAATAAATATTTCTGCATTCATATCACAAGTACGTGGGTGGACGGACAAACACAACGTTTTCAATACATTATGTTAAATTAATGGAAAATAGACATTCATTGCTCGGTGTGTATGGACAATGGCGAAATCGGTAGAGCGGTGTGCTCGGAATGACAACTCATACATACATACATACAGCGGACCACAGCCATGCACGCATAGCTGCTTCACGGCAAAAACACGAATGGGACAGAGGTGCCCAAGCAAATGACTTTTGTACGAAAGCTCCCTCTGGTGGGTAAAATCTTTATTGTACGTAATTTACATTGGACACATTAAAAGATTTAATATAATATGATTAGTTCCTAGTGAATTCGCCACAAGAAGTTACTTTAACCTGTTCCATCCTCACCTGTCACCCCTCACTTGCTAGCAATATGCCCTATTAGGTCGACCTCCACGTGGTTCCTCCTGGAAACCATCGTGAACAATTCTTGTTGAATTCGTCACGTTGGGCTAACTGATCTGCTTCATCCTCACTTATCATTCTTTACTGGTGCCCCGCCGGTGTATACCGATAGCGCAGGCGGGGTTACCATTCCATTATCACTCATTAAAAAAAAATTATAAGTTTATTTTTGGATTATTTTGTATGTGGCAACGGCAGTGGCAATGGGTTGGACACATAGCTCGTAGAACCGACAACCGACGGGGAAGGAAGGTTCTTGAGTGGCGACCACGTACGGACAAACGCAGTGTAGAACGACACCCCTACTTGATGGAGTGACAACCTTTTATGCATTGCTGGATGTCAGTGGGTGCAGGCGGCTCAGGACCGTTCCTTATGGCGGTCTATGGAGAGGCCTATGTCCAGCAGTGGACGGATAATGGCTGAAATGCTGATGATTGTTTTGTATATATATATATACATATATATACAATATTTTGTATCCATATGTAAATATATATATATATATATAGATATATGCAATTATTAGACTTATATATATCTCTGTGATGTAATCGTGTAGAATATCAATACACTACCACAGATAATATAATACTATACTAGTAGTGTACATACTACATACATATTATAACTCCTGTACCTGGGATGCCATGGATTGTGCTGGAAAACAGCTCTGCAGCGCTTCAAGCTGCAGCAACAACTGAGCACCACGGACCTACTTTACGGAACACACTTTGTTGTTGCTTTTTTGTTGTATATTTTTGTTAGTAATAAAATAATTTCAGAACGGGTATACTTCAGATCTGAGCAGTGACACAAGTAAAGCTCAAACAAAAAGTCATTATTATTCAATTTAAAAAAAAAAGGTATATATAATAAATATAAAAACCTGCCAGATACTCTCATTGAAGGTCAAATAGTTTTTGTTTTCAACTACAATATTTTTATACGTAGTATTTTTCATGTGTGCTACTGCGCGAGACGCGTGATTCTATGATTTTTTCTTTTTTTCACAAAGTTTTTTTTTTATAGGTGATAATGAAATAGTGACCCAATCCGCGCTATCGGTTTACGCTGATAGGGCACCAGTGAAGGATGATAGATGTGGATGAAACAGGTCAGTTAGCCCATCGTGATGAATTCAACGAGAATTGTCTACGATGGTTTCCAGGGGGAACCACGTGGAGGTTGACCTGATAGGGCATATTGATAGCAATGGGGCTGTCAAACTCCATTGCTAACAATCTCTTCCTCCCTTTTTTCATAGAGTGTAGTCCTAAGAACAAGGAATTACATAGGAGTGATAAAATTGTCAATTCATAGCAGGCTAGTGTATAGAAAATGTATAACAGGCCGTATAACCCCACCAAATTCAGATACAACCTGCATACATACTTTCTACATAAACTGTGTCCAATATATAATCTAGTAATGATTAATAACTGACATATCAAATATTTTCTACACACTAGGCTGCTGTGAATTGAGAAAAATAGCAACTGATGGTGTATCTTTCGTGCTCTTTTTACTAATTATATTTGCATAAGAAGATAGGAGGCAACCGTATGATTTACAGTTTTTATTTTATCATTCCTTCTATGTAATTCCTTGTTATTTAGATGTAGTTATATTTTGTTTTGTTTCACGTAGGTATGACAACTCCTATATTAGTTTGGAGCGAACAGACGGACGATGCTTTATTATGTTTACCTATATATATATTATATTCACAAAATATTGTAAGAGGAAAACGTAGGTAGTTTATATCTGGAAACAATATTTATCACTTCGCGGAAATTTTGTGTAAACAAACGGACGAAAAATGTTTATCAGTTCTATTTACTATTAATATTTTTTTTATATCACATACGGATATACATGGATACGCCTCGCCTGATGGGAAACGGTAATTGTTACTTAAGAATGTTTTTTTTTAAGATATTTGAATGGCAAACAAGCTGACGGCCCACCACGACGGCTGATGGAAAGTGGTAACGCATACGCTATTATACCCATAGTACCCCTTATGCGTTGCCATTTCTGATGACTAGTGAGGGATGATAGGTGAGGATGAAAAGGCAGGCCAGTTAGCACATCGTGATGAATACATTTGCACGATGGTCTCCGTGGGGGGGGGGGGGGGCACATGGAAAACGACCTGACAGGTAGACCTGCTAGCAATGAAACTGGTAGTCCGCATTACTAACAATCCCTTCCCACCGAAGGACTAAGATACCTTCAAACCGAAACAGTCACGCAAGCGCAAATGCTTCACAGCAGAAACATGAGTGGGACAGAGGCACCCAAGCTGCCTATTTTTGTACAAAGTCTCCATCTGTGTAAACTACCAGGCCCCACAAGACGCCATGTTGACTGCCACGTGTTAATCACATTGAAAATATACTAATTGGCTTGTTTTTTATAACGTTAAAGAAAAAAAAACAAAGGAACGCAGCCATACAGTGGACTCGTTATCTGTATTACTGTCTGTGTGTATTGTTGCAGATATTTGTGTACAAGAATGTTTATTAATAAGTTAGTATTTTTTTTAATGAGTGATAATGGAATGGTAACCCAATCCGGGATATCGGGTACCAGTGAGGATAGGATAGGTGAGGATGAAGTAGGTCAGTTAGCCCATCGTGACGAATTCAACAAGAATTGTTCACGATGGTGTCCAGGGAAACCACGTGGATTTTTTTTTGATAGGTGAAAATGGTTTGGTAACCCTGCCCGCGCTAACAGAATACGCTGGCGTAGCAACAGTGAAGGGTGATAGATGAGAATGAAAACAGGCCAGTTAGCCCATCATGATGTATCATCAGGAATTAACCATGTTAGTTTCCATGGGGAACCGCGAGGAGGTCGATCTGGTTGGGCATATTGCTAGCAATAGGATTCTCAGTCTCCATTACTAACAATCCCTTTCCCCCCACCACATGGAGGTCGTATCGCTAGCAGTGGGTTCATTAGACCCCATTACTAACAATCCCTTTCCCCCAATAACTTAATATTTAATACGTAATGATTCAAACACAGTACGTGTAAGTAATTCGCAGTACCGCCGCGTATATTGCTATAAATAAACCGCGGAGGCAGCCCGCACACTTGCGTAGTCCGTGCTTCTCACACCGGTGTGTATGGTATTATACGAATACTACAGTTCTCCGCCGGCTTTGTACGTGTAAACATATAGAAAGACACATACAAAAAAAAAAACAGTTTTTAAGATGATCATCATCATCATCATAAGTCTTCTTGCCCGCCTTGTTGTGTAGGCGGGCGAGGTAGGGGCCTCGGGGTAAACCCCTCTTTTTTAAGATGAACATCGATTCATTTGTATTCCGATCACCAGAGGTCGCTAGGAAACGCGATGGACTCACAACGTCTAAGACAACCGGTCGTGGTCGCGCGGCCGGCCTGTGCAACAGGCGCGCCCTCTCCTCTCCGGTCCGCTGAGCGTATTTCTCGGAAGCGGCGCGCGTCGCGGCGTCGGATCGCAAACACCAGCACTACCATAGTTCAGAAGACTTACTACAGTAGATTATTATCAAGTTGGCGACTGTCGCAAACTATACTGCATCTCGTTTTCGTTTACAGAGAATAGCCATAATAATGTCATCCGTTACTGTTTACCGCTGAACATAGGCATAAAAAAAAAGAAAAAAATACAACCGGATTGAGTAGCTCTTTTTTTAAGTCGGTTGAAAAAATACTTCGAGGTTGAGAAGATTCCCCATTCGGGTGTATTTTTTTTTCTGTTTGTTACCTCTAAACTCCGTCGTTTATAAACCAATTTGGAAAACTCTTTTGCTATCTAAAAGGGTATATTTTCAAACTGACCCAGTGGAAATATCTTCAAAATTGGTTAAATAGATCGGTTTTTAAATCAACATAACTGGTTTGGCCATCATGACTGAAGTTTAATAAATCAATTATTTATAAATTAAATTCGTTTTTATTATAAAATAAAAAAGTTATTATTAAAGTACTATAATTTACCACTTTCTTTAGAATAAGTATAAATATTTCACCAGAGGGAGCCTTTGTACAAAAGTCGTTTGCTTGGGTACCTCTGTCCCATTCGTGTTTCTACCGTGAAGCAGTTGTGTATGCATGGCTGTGTTTCGGTTTGAAGGGTGGGATATTGTGTGAATTTACTGGGTACAGAGGAATAACACCTGAGTCCTCAGGAATGGCAACGCATGGGGGGTATCATAGGCGAAACAGTATACTCTGTTATGTCCATTGTACTGCTTATGTCTATAGGCGACGGTTACCACTTTCCATCAGGTGGACCGTCATGCCATCGGCGCACGGTGTTCCGATTGCTAACAAGCGATGGGCTCACTAGTCCCCATTACTAACCACGTGTCTACACAAGCTGTAATCGAGCGTACCTGTTGCTTGTAAAACACGGAGCAGTACAAAATCTCTTTTTCACAACGAGCTACTTGACACGATATCAGCACCTACTGTGTTACACAAAAAATACTTTTTTGGCAAAAAAGTAAGCAACATGATGTAAAAAAAAAGAATCATCGAAATCCATTCATAATTATGGGAAAAAGCAAGGTCAAATTGATAACCTCCTACTTTTTTTTTTAAATTCGTCGAAAACTATAATGTGAATGCGAATGAATGTGTGTCATTCGACTACTTTTTAAGGTGGATTGAAAACAATAGAAAGAATGTGTCAATAACCATTAGAGAAATACTATTTCCAAATTACGTGCGATTCAGAGTTCGGCCGCTTGCGCGCGCGCATACTAATCAATTGCTAATGGATTGTAGAGACAGATGTACGTTAATGATGTTAGTGCGAGCGGGACAGAGAATGGGGCCGCTACGCGAACGATGTCGTAAACAGCAGTGATGCGCCGTGGAAGACTGCGCCGAGGTGTCGATTGTTTTTATCGACAATTTTAAACATCGAAAAAAAAACAATAATAAATGGTCAATATTTTTCTTAGTGAAAAATTCATGAATTTAAGATCAAAGCTACTTTACATACAACTTCTACATTTCTGTAATAAAAATTTTATAAACAAATACATACTTATCTGGAAAATAAAATAATAATAAACAATACCTATCGCCGTATGGTCCCGGCATATAATAGGCCATCCCTTCCTTTCCTGTGGGTATCGTAAAAGTCGACTAAGGGACGGCGAGGGATGGATAACAGCATCTCACTTAAAAAATCTCTAAAAGTTTAACTGCGGTTGCCAACCTGCCTGAGTACAATTATTTAGAGATTTTTGGAATACCATCAATCACAACTAAAGAGCTTATATTGATAAATCAGGCTAAATTTTGAAATCGGAATGATGTCGAATGGTGTAATGGCGACATCCATTTGACGTCTTTTCAACGTCGTATCGATTTAATCCCAATTCTATCGCTACAAAAATTAACCTGTACATTCTTTCGCTGATCTGACCGCAATGTTATCGATAAAAAAACGTATCGACTCTGCGCCTTACTAATAAATCAAGTACACAACCAGTTACCGAGTTGTGTTATCGGAGACAGGACATACGGATTGTGGAGAGCCATTTGGAAATTCGTGTTATTTTTGTGTGTTTACAATAATATTGTTTCCATGTTGTGTTCAGTGATGTGCTGGACGTGTGGTTTAGGTGTGAGGAGATAGCAGACAGACAGACAGAGAGCACGTGAGTACTGCAGTTGTTTCAATACGAGGTCGCCTAATATCCGGTTGTCTGTTGTGTCTTCGTGTGTCAATAAGCTATCGAGGTGGAGGTTTTATTGCAAAAAATATATACTTTTAAAACGAGTTTGGTAGTTTGTCTGTTCTTCATAGGTATCTACTCGGTCAGTATATATTATATATATATATATATATATATATATATATATATATATATATATATATATATATATATATAGTGTCGAATTCCACTAGAATTAACTATGATGGTTTCCAGATGGAACCGCATGGAGGTCGACCTGAGAGGGTATATTGCTAGCAATGGGGTAGTTACACCCCATTACTAAAATGCCTTCCCCCTGGTCAGTATATAGCGTACCCCGAAGGTAACAATGTTGACGTCGTTGGGATATTTAAATATATATTCCTTAGGGGACCTATTCAACAAAAAAGGGGGAAGGGACCATCAAATCCACGCGGTTCCCCCTCAAAACCATGTTGCTTATTTCTTGTGGAATTGGCCACGATGGGCTAACTGACCTGCCTTTTCATTTTCACCTATCATCCCTCACTAACGCCCCGCCAGCGTATATCGTTTTTTTTTTAAGAATGGATGATAATAAAATGGTAACCCCACCCGCGCTATCAGTATACACCGGCGGGGCACCAGTGAAGGATGATAGGTGAGGATGAAGCAGGTCAGTTAGCACATCGTGACGAATTCAACAAGAATTATTCACAATGGTTTCCAGGGGGAATCACCTGGAGGTCGACCTAATAGGGCATATTGCTAGCAATGGAGCTGTCAAACTCCATTGCTAACAATTGCTTTCCCCCCAAGTGTATACCGTTAGCGCATGCGGGATTACCATTAACTCGTTAAAAAAATGTCATTAAAAAAGGCGGATATAACATACATTTAGACATGTTTTTGTCTTTAGCTAAATACTCCACTCTTTATTCTGGGATGGGAATCAGTAAATTCCAGGGTGGACATGACCCCCTCTCGATGCGCCTACGGTTAATGTGTAGTTTTATCGAATTGACTTGTTTACTAATAAATCAGATAAGAGTAATGTTTAATGAGCACTGCAATAAATAATGTTTATTCCATCAACTTAAACTATGTTGTGAGATTACAACTTAGAATGGCAAACAAGCTGACGGCCCACCTGGTGGAAAGTAGTAACCGTCGCCTATACACATGAGCAGTACCGTGGACATAACAGAGTATACTGTTTCGCCCATGATACCCCCCATGCGTTGCCATTCCTGAGGACTCAGGTGTTATTCCTCTGTGCCCTGTAAATTCATGCCATATCGCACTCTTCAAACCGAAACAGCTATGCAAACACAACTGCTTCACGATAGAAACACGAATGAGACAGAGGTACTCAAGCAAACGACTTTTGTACAAAGTCTCCCTCTGGTGTAGTTGCTTTCTATTATCACTAACAATCGTGTAATGATTTCGGTAAAGTAATTGTAATTGGTAAGGTTCATCCCCGTCATCGTGCCGCTACCAAATGACGACTCGAAGTAGCGCTGTAAACTATAAATAAAATTGTCTGTTGATTTGAATTCTCGTTTGTTTTTTGAGCCCTTTCAAGGTTTATTTTAAAATTTATTTTAATATTGATGTGTTGTTTTGTTGGGAACATGCATCTACTCAATTGATGAATTTTAAAAACAATTACATCTCGAATCCAACGAACATGGAGTGAACAAACAATGTTTGTATGTACTGTATACTATGCCATACTAAAATGACATTTGTAAACTGACTGTAATGTAATTTTTGACAATTATTATTGGTTATTTTGTTGCTACATTTTTTGTTTTATGATATCTTACTTATAAAAAATATTCAACGCAATGTGGTATTGTTGTGAATAAATAAATTAAGAATTGAATTGAATTGGTGTTTGTTATTCACTCATGTTAAAATTGTTGAAAAGTTTTGGTTCACGATACGATCACAATCATATTTGCTACTCGGATAGAGCACAGCTGAGGGTAACATATCTATGTTATAGGATCCTGTTTCTGGTTCACGCGGGAAAGTTACGGGAATTTGTAATGTCCGATGTTTGTAATATCTAATTTTCTTTTTAATTTATTATTAATTATGTTTCCCGGTTTATATTATATCTGGGTACGTACGTAACGTAGTACAATTAATATGTAGGTGTAATATGTATGTACATTTTGATAGTATAAATATTCATTGTTATCCACTTACAATTGGCTACAATTATCACGTATGCGAGATATCTATCATAACTTTCTTGTTGACTTAGTTAACATCGAAAGTCATAAAAAATCATCGCACGAAAATTTTCTCGTGTTAAGTTCATGAGTTAAGTTACACGGACTATTTTCAATTTGCCGCCAAACCGTGAAACAAATGACAAACGAATAAATGATATACTCAGTATTATTGGTAAAGAGTTCCATTTTCAAAATTTTAACAATTTTTTAATTATATTGCTTTCGTGTAGCCAGTTCTAAAAAGTTTCAGTGTAGCCCTTGTGTCCTGCGTTTCGCTAGTATAGTATTATATTATCTGTGCTCACGGTAATTGACACTTAATAGATACAGGGTGGCCCAAAAGTCTTTAGAAAAGTAAAATTTGAATTAAACGAAAACGGCGCGCGTGAGCGGTGCAGGGGAAGCGGGGGCAGTAACTTCGGTTTCTGGGAATTTAGTCGCGATGGAGCGTTTCACCGGAGCGGACCGTGCGTTTTGTGTGCGCGAGTTTTATCAAAACAAAAATTCGGCAACCGTTGCGAGGCGTAAATTTCGAGAACACAAAGGTTTACACAACTTTGATGACACCCCAGCTCTCCAAACGATTAAGAATTGGGTTGCTAAGTTCGAGGAGACCGGTTCGACGTTAGATAAACCGCGGTTGGGTCGCCCAAGGACATCACGTACGGAACAAAACATCGACACAGTGGCACAATCTATTCGTGAAAATCCTACACAGTCAACTCATAAGCGTTCCAGTGCATTAAACGTATCCAGGACATCGTTTCAACGGATTTTGAAGAAAGATTTACTTATGCACCCTTACAAAATTCAGTTGGTGCAAGAATTAAAAGAAACTGATGCTATTCAGAGAGTGAATTATGCTAATGAAATGTTTAATCGGTTTACTTCGTTCAATAACATAATGTTCTCTGATGAGGCACACTTCCACATTAACGGACATGTTAGTAAACAAAATTGCCGCTATTGGAGCCCGATTAATCCAAAACTTAAGCACCAGACGCCCTTACATAGCCCTAAAGTTACAGTTTGGGCCGCTATGTCAGCCCATGGCATCATAGGGCCTTACTTTTTTGAGGACGGCAGAGGGCGTGCTGTTACTGTTACTTCGGAGCGATATGTGGCCATGATCGAGGAGTTTTTCACACAAAAATTGCAAAACTTTCCAGGCTTTAATGCCCGAACATGGTTTCAACAGGATGGAGCAACTTCCCACACCTCCAATACTGCTATGCCCGTTATCCGTCAACTTTTTCCAAACAAAGTTATCTCTAAGAGAGGAGACATTTCCGGGCCACCACGTAGCCCGGATCTGACTCCAATGGATTTTTTTTTGTGGGGCTACATTAAGGCTAAAGTGTACGACTCTAACCCGCGGTCAATTAATGACCTAAAAGAAGACATCCGCAGAGAAATGGCAAGCATTTCAGCAGTGACGTGCCGCGCAGTCATCGACAATTTCAGAAGGCGTTTGCAAGAGTGCCGTGACTGTAACGGATTACATTTGGACGACGTTATTTACAAGAAATAATTCCCGTTTTTCTAGCTATATTTACAAATAAAAATATTATTCATAGTGTAATTAGTTTTATTTTAATTAATTTTTTTTATTACTAAGGACTTATGGGCCACCCTGTATAAGAAGATGGAATAAGATAAGCAATAAGAATGGAATATTAATCGCATGTCAAGTTTAAATGAAATACTTTCGGTATATATAGTCTTGGGGTGAGAGTGGCACGTTTGTCCTCACAAGATTTCGCATTTACAATAACACAACTAGTAGAATGTACAAAAAATACAGTTGTTCTGAGATCGTGTATGTTTTCGAGTCGGTCCTGTCGGCTGTAACAGGTGTATCGAAGCTGTTAGCAGACTGAGAGCGTCACTGTGCTTCTAAGAATCGTTTACCGAGTCTCGCACACGGAGTTCGATCAACAAATTAACACACCAGCCGTCTATATCTATTTCAGGAGTTATGTATTTTTTTTTTATTTTCGATACAATGGAGCGGCAAACAATCTTAGGTGCTAGGATCTTATTTTAGCATATGGGGTCAGCTAAGTTGTTACACGTCGACTCATAGGGATCTTTTGTGCTTCCCCATGCCTTATACCATCGTTTCATAGATCCTATGTGTTACGCTAACGATATCCCGCAGTTTAATATATCTGTAGTCCTAGGTACCAGAATAGTAATATGGGTTTTTTTTTTTAATAATTGGTAATGGAATGGTAACCCCGCCTGCGCGGGAGGAAGGGATTGTTAGTAATGGGGTCTAATAACCTAGTCAGCAATATGTCTTATGAGGTCGACCTCCACGCGGTTCCCCCTGGAAACTATCGTGGTTGATTCTTGTGGAAAAACTGCTCATGTTTTGTTGTTCTGTTCACTTCTACAATATAATAATAAATAATTGTTCTTATTTCCACGTGTTTGGATTGCACGGAGTCAGTGGATGCAGGCCGTTCCTTATGGCGGTCTATGGGGGAGGCTTATGTCCAGCAGTGGACGGATAATGGCTGAAATGTTGATGATTTATTTACACATGTTAAGGTTTGTTTTTTTATTTAACAGGCCAGGTACCCATTCATTTGTTAATACCTTCTACTCAAAGGTTGTCTGGAAGATCGCTCAGCAATAAGACTGCCTTTTGTACTACAACTATACTTATTGATAATTCTTCACCAAGTGCTGCAACATTGGTGCAAATAAAGTGTCAAATAAGTAAACGCTGCCCTTTTACTTTCTCCTTTTGCCATGTATTCGAATATTCCGCCATTAAACTGTAATTGTGATATGACCTTGTGCGTATTTCTATGTCGTCAGATATGTACAACAGTAGCTATGTAGTACTATATACATACATATATCGTTCGCATCATCGCGTGCTCTACATTTAGAAGAGTATGAATGTAACAATGATCGACGCGTCGGTTACCAAGTGACTAACATCTGAACACACATGCCGTCAGACAGCGGACAGTGGACAGTGGACAGTGGACAGTGGGAGTCGCGATATTGTCCACAACTATAGCGGAATATACTTACAACGTGCGAGTTAGAGAGTTTACAACTAACTCATGAGCACGGCGCTGATATTGTATATAAATCTTGTAACAGTAAACAAACTGACCGTCCGTCTAAGTTATATTGAATTATGAAGGGAAGAAAACTTGCTGGATGATTATCATTAGATAATTAGTTAAAAGAAGGGGGAGAGATTGTTAGGGACTGGGACTAAAGGCACCATTATAAGGAACATCAGGTCGATCGCCACGCAGTCGACATGATGTTCCTTATAATGGTGCCGCTAGCAGAAAGTCAAGCAGAATTTTGCCTTTTGAACCCTGAATTTTCTTAAATAAAATTTTGATTTGATTTTATAAAAAAAAAACGCTCCATTTTCAACCTCAAGACGTTTTTTGGTAGATAAAAATGTGCCGCTTATGACTTTAAAAGGACGTCATAATTTGGTTGGTTTAGGACGTCTATTATATTTCATTGCGTAGCTGTGTTTAGGTTTAAAGGGCGGGATATGGCAGTGAAATGACAGGGTACGGGTATGACACCTTAGTTCTCAGGAATGACAGAGCATGAGCACCATGGGCATCACAGGTCATAGGCGACTGTTTCCTTGTGGTAGTGATATAAAAGAAAATAATCTCTCACTGGATAATATTCTGCCAGAGGCTTTCAATTCGGTTATTTTTTTAAAATTTTTTTATTTATTTATTTATTTATTAGTACAAATACGTGTACATGGCGGACTTAATCCTAAAACTTGATTATTATTGAGTTATTTTATTTATTTATTTTATTTATTTACTATATTTTTTTCTGTAAATTGTATTGTCTGATACTGCTTAGTGGTTTGTATTCACACAAATTCATTATTTGTACAGTTAAACTTTTTATGAAAATAGCAACAGCTGAGAGTTTCTTGCCCGTTCTCCTTGGCTGACATTGCGTTCCGAATGGGTGGTAATGAAAAAATATGACTATTTCAATATGTTTAAATATAAGTTTATTTCAATATATTTTTTTTTGTTTTTCCTCTTCAATTAATAAAAGTAAGCAAGTTCGCACGGAGTCAGTGGATGCAGGTGGGTCAGGACCGTTCCTTATGGCAGTCTATGGGGGAGGCTTATGTCCAGCAGTGGACGGGTAATGGCTGGGATGATGATGATGACGATGAACCAAGATGTGTTAAAATTGTCGTAACACTTAGTAAGAGATTAGTAATTTTTTTTATCTATTTTTATTTAGAGGCTCTTATCCTATAAGGATATGTCGGCCTCATCGTACCCTAATTTTATAAAATACCTCACATACTTAAAACATTGATACATAAATACATAATACCCTAGTAGTCTATTTTGATAAAGGGAAGAGATTAGTCATATTTAATATATGACAACGTTCCACTATATTTTTTAATGGAATGGTAGCCCCGCCCGCGCTATCGGTATACACTGACGAGGCACCAGTGGAAGATGATAGGTGAGGATGAATGCAGGTCCGTTGGCCCACCGTGATGTTTTTGTTTGTTTTCAAAAGTTCTTTATTTATCATAAGTGATTACAAATACAATAAATTCCAGTGTACGTAGAATAGTGCCTAGAATTTACAATCGGCCATAAATCGTTTGGGTAATCGAGTTATATGCACTCCTTCAAACATTTGTACAAAAGTCGATTGCTTGGGTACCTCTGTCCCCATTCGTGTTTCTACCGTGAAGCATTTGTGTTTGCATGGCTGTGTTTCGGTTTGAAAGGTGGGATATGGCGTGAATTTAATGGATACAGAGGAATAACACCTGAGTCCTCAGGAATGGCAACGCATGGGGGGTATCATGGGCGAAACAGTATACTCTGTTATGTGCATGATACTGCTCATGTCTATAGGCGACGGTTGCCACTTTCCATCACATAAAAACTTACATTACATGATGTAACTTATTAATTATAATCATAAAATAAACACAAAATGCTTTGTAAATTATGCATTATAACAAAAATCATACAATTAATTTTGGCAGATGAATTAACCATGATGGTGGTCGACCTGAGAGGGTACATTGCTAGCAATGAAACTATTAGACCTCAGTACTAACAATCCCTGGCCCCCCACGTCCCACTATTGGGCACCGGCAGGCGGTGTCTCGTCTCAAGCTCGGCTCGATTATTCGTTGAAACTGATACAGTACATATAGTACAATAGATATAATATCAAATAGTTTAATCTGATACTAAAAGAAGGAGAATCTATCTCTATTTACTTATTTATTTTTGTGCCTTTTACTTTGTGTAACGCAACTATGAAGCTTCCATTGTTCGTAGATACATTACATTTACCATATGAAGAATTGATTCAATTAATCATTCATCTGCGTTCTAAATTCGAAAAAGCAGTTTATTTCAATTCGGAATTCGTGTTCTAAATGTAAAATTTAAAAGATTAAATATAGAACGCAAAATTATGTATTAATAATTTAAATAGTAAACTGTAGTAGTTGTAGTAGCAGTTGAACGCTCGCAATGAACGGTGATCTCAGAACGCAATAAATGTATTTACATTTGGAACGTGTTCTAAATTCAAATTTCAATTTAAATTTGATCGCGGAATTATGTAGATTTCGTTGTGTAAAAAAAATTGCATCCTTAAGCGTCACTAAATTAACATGGGACTACAGTATCACGAAATAAAAAATTAGGTCGCTCTCCCCACGGTTCTTCTTGGGAACTATCGCGACTAGTTCCATCTCGATCAGCTAATTAATCTGCACTGGCCTGCTATGAATTGACAAGAATAGCAACTGATGGTGTATCTTTCGTCCTCTTTTTACTAATTATATTTGCATAAGAAGAAAGGAGACAACCGTATGATTTACAGTTTTTATTTTATCATTTCTTCTATGTAATTCCTTGTTCTTAGGTTTCATGTGCCTGATGAAATAAAAGTGTAATCGTATATTTCGTGTTGTTGCAGCCGAGCGCCGACCACCGATGCGGTCGCGGTCCGCGGCGGCGGCGGCGCTGGTGGCGGCGCTGGCGGCGGCGCTGGTGGGGCCGGTGCGCGCGTTCGACTGCCCGGCGCCGTGCTCGTGCGGCTACGCCGGCGACCAGCGCGAGTACACGTGCCAGCTGCCGTCCGCCAACGTCACCGTCACCGCGCAGATCAACAGCTACGCTGACGTCCGCTGCACGGTGGGTGCAGCTGTGACATCTTTTCTCTCACTAGACTTTGTCCAAAAGTCGTCTGCATGCGTCTCTGTCCCACTCGTGTTTCTGCTGTGAAGCAGCTGTACTTGAACAGCTGTGTTTCAGTTCGAAGGCTGGGATATGGCAATGAATTTACAGGGTACAAAGGCACTATATCCTGTGATGAGCATGAAGCTGTTTATGTCTATAGGCGACGGTTGCTGCTTTCCATGTGCCGTGTTTTTAGCTTGTTTGTCGTTCTAAGGATTATAAAAAAAAGGATGCCACCTCATGTATTGCATAGTTCTATTCAGTCTCGTTTGCCGTCTGGTCCCGACATAGATTTTTTTTTTAAATGGATAATGTAATGGTAACCCCGCCCGCGCTATCGGTATACACTGCCGGGGCACCGGTGAGGGATGATAGGTGAGGATGAAGCAGGTCAGTTAGCCCATCGTGACGAATTCAACAAAATCCCGGCATAGAGTAGTCACCCCTTTCTTTCCCGTTGGTATCGTAAGAGACAAGTGAGGGAGTTTAATAATCGAAGGATGGACAGTAGCGTCCCTCTTAAAACATCATCAAAAGCCAATCTGCGGTTGCCAATCTGCTTGCCTAGCATGACAACTACTGGCAAAATTACCCAATGGTAAACTGCACTGAGGAAGGTCCTGTTCCTTATGGCAGTCTACGGAAGAAGCCTATGTTCAGCAGCGGACAGAGAACGGCTGATATGAGCCAGTTTAAAACTAAATGAATGTGTTGTATTTGTATTGTATTGTAAAATCTTTACTGTACATAATTTACATTGGACACATTAAAAGATTTAATATCCAATGGCGGACTTATTCCATAGAGGGAGCTCTCACAGTCAACATTTGAGAAGCTGAAAGAAAACTGTAGAATGTTCAAGGACAAAAACCGTACAGCTAAAGACAGAGTCAATGATATCTAGTTACAGTTGAACATTTAATACAATAAAAAGTAATTGTACACACCTATATATGTAAAATAATAATAATACATGTTGTATGTTACGCGAACATAGGAAGCAATCCGATAAATATGAACTTGGAAGCTCTTAAAAAGGGTACGCTGAGTAGTTTTGTGGAATGAATATGGTACAACCACTGTTTGGAATCAACCTCCAGCAGCAGTATTTCCGAACCGATACGACAACATAACTTTCAAGAAAAGAACATATTCCTTTTTAAAAAGTCGGCAGGACACTTGTAATGCCTCTGGTGTTGCGGGTGATCATGGTGTCACTTACCATCAGGTGAGCCGCATGCTCGTTTGCCCTCTATAAAAGCAAATGGTATCCTGCTCGCCCCCTTAACTTTGTCCTATGACAAGAGTGTTCTTTTTTTTTTCATTTGCTTATAAATGCGTGACCCGCAGGGCGGAGTGATCCGCTGCCCCGAGCTGCCGCACATAGCGGTGGGCCGCAACGACACGCTGAGGAGCTTCAGCGTGTCGCAGTGCGAGCTGGGCGGGCCGCTGGCGTGCGTGCTGGGCGCGCTGGGCGCGCGCGCGGCCGGCGCGCTGCTCGTGCGCGCGCCCGGCACGCCGCTGCGCGCCCGCCACGTGGCCGGCCTGCGCGCGCTCACCAGCTTGCGGCTCCTCGACGCCGGTCAGTTGCCGTGCGAGCGGCCACAACTACAGTTTACACAATTATTTGTAATGTGAAATTGAGTTTGTTACCTCTTAGCCTCTCACCTCTTTACGGTCTTAACGGCTCGACAAATCACTATGAAATTTAGTATATACGTACTATACGGGTGGAGAACGTAGACTGCATTTAATCCCGGTGAGTGAGTACAGCGCAGTCCCGAGGATATAGTCGCAGGTAAAAATATACACATCACTAGAGGGAGGCTTTGTACAAAAGTCGATTGCTTGGGTACCTCTGTCCCATCCGTGTTTCAACCGTGAAGCAGTTGTGTTTGCATGGCTGTGTTTCGGTTTGAAGGGTGGGATATGGCGTGAATTTACAGAGTACAGAGGAATAACACCCGAGTCCATAGGAATGGTCACGCATGGGGGGTATCATGTACCAAACAGTATACATGATACTGCTCATGTGTATAGGCGACGGTTACCGCTTTACATCAGGCGGGCCGTCAGCTTGTTCGCTATTCTAAGTTGTATAAAAAAATATTTTGTAAAATTAACTAACATGTTAATATAACATGTAGGGTTTACCGTAGTAGGATATCCATGCTGTAACCAGCTGCAATGAAACTAGGTATAGCTACTATTTCCAATGCAGAAGGTAATTTTTTATTATGTCGGTCCCACGGACAATGTCATAGGTAAAATATAGTATGATTATTTTGTTAAATGTTCATTCTAGCCGCCCAAACCACTGTGCCGTACGAAGCGCTGCAAGTATTGCCCTCCCTCACGGACTTCAGACTGCGAGGAGCTAACTTGACCCTCAGCGAGGAGGGCTTCCAGTCCGGTGGCTCGCTGCAGCACGTGGAACTGTCCAGTGACAATATCCGTGAACTGCCGGCCGGCGGGTTCCGAGGGCTGGACAAGCTACCACAGCTCCACCTGTGGGATAATCTTATTGAACAACTCCATCCTGATGCGTTTCAAGGTTCGTAGCTGGATTTTCATTTAACATGTAATAACAAATAAGCTGACGGCCCGCCTGATGAGCAGCAGTAACCGTGGTCTACATCCTGAACACATGAGCTACATCCTGAACCTCAGAGACTATAATGCGACTTCCATTATTATTCCAGCTTTTAACTCGTCCACTGCTAAACTTAAGCCTTCCCCATAAACACAGTGTTGCCACGCTTGGCAGGCAGGTTGGCAACCTCAGTTAGACTTTTAAAAATGTTTTAAGAGGGACACTGTTGCCAATCCGTCTACCAGCAGTAAGTTCCTTTTGTCGTCTTTTACGACACCCACGGGAAAGGAAGGTGTGGCCTATTATAATCCGGGACAACATTCGTTACCCTTCTAAGGACTAAGGCGTTATACCTCCGTGTCATGTTATTTCACTGCCAAGACAACAAACTAAACCACTAACAGATTCTCACGAATAACAGATTTTCCCAAGACACTACAGCATGGGGTTCTTCAAAATGGGGGTAAAGTGGTTTCTTCAGGGCCGGTAACGCGCGCGTAATACCTCTGGTATTGCAGGCGTTCATAGGCTACGGTAACCGCTTACCATCAGGTGGGCCGTATGCTTGTTTGCCACCTCAGTGGTATAAAAAAAAAGAATAGTAACAAAACAGATTAGTTCGACGAAACTGATACATGAAGCAACAGAGGCTATGTTAATAGAATTGAACAAAAAGAAAGAAAGAACACCCCGGAGTGGACACTCCAGGGTCCAGGGGTACTCAGTACGATATCGGTGTCACGTCACAGACTAAACAGTGGTGATGACATTGATGAGTACGTGAGTGTAAATATTGTAGTTGGTGACTACAGGCCTAGTGAGTCAGCGCGTGCCATAGCTCGATAAGATCCTCCGGCCGCTCGCATTCCGCATTCGCGCTGCTACTAACTACTGCAAAACAAGTTTACAACATCGACGAGAGGAACGTTCAGATTCATACATGTTAGATGGAGATTCAATAGATACATTCGCTGCTGTCCAGTCGCTGTGGCGGGTAATACTAATTTAAAAGTGTACGTAATTTAAGAGATTGCCCAGATACAGGCTCGATCCATATGGGGACCATGGACCCATATGGTGAAAACGGTATGGCAACCCCGCCTGCGCTAACGGGATACGCTGGCGGAGCACCAGTGAAGGGTGATAGATGAGAATGAAAACAGGCCAGTTAGTCCATCATGATGAATTCATCAGGAATTAACCATGATAGTTTCCATGGGGAACCGCGAGGAGGTCGACCTGGTTGGGTATATTGCTAGCAATGTGTTTTTTTTTTTTTTTATGTCTCCTTTACTAACAATCCCTGTTCCCCCGCTATAGGGAGTTGTAATTACGATGATGGGTTTCATGGTATAAGTGACATTTCGCAGGCTTGGACTCGTTGGAGCGGCTGGACGTGAGTCGCAACCGACTCCGTGTGCTGCCCACCAACGCGTTCGTGAACACTCCCAAGTTAAAACAGATCACATTCTTCGCCAATCCCCTGGAAGAGATAGCCACTGACGTGTTTGCTGGACTACAGTTTCTGGAGAAGGTACTTTCTTTTTCTTTTTTTTTTTTATAAATATAATATAAATTATACATGTTACATATGACAACACAACACAGAAATAAAGATTACACAATTATACCTTTTATTTATTTTTATCAATTTACAGGTAACAGCGTTTGACAACCGCGCCAATCTGAAACTCAGTCCGCGCTCGTTCGCCAATCTTCCCGCTCTGAAAAGTGTACGACTCACGAAATGCAGAATCTACGAATTGTCCCCTGACACCTTTCACAACTCGTCAGCGATCACAAGCCTGCAACTCAGCGGCAACAGCATAAGCGCTCTACCAGCTGCATTGTTCAGAGACCAGATCAAACTTGAGTCGTTGCAGCTGAATGATAACAAGATACAAACGTTGAGGTCGGACGTGTTCTGGCCTCTCAAGCAGCTGAAAGACTTAAATCTGGATAAGAATCTTATTGAAGTGCTGCCTGGGTTAGTATTTTTTTATTATTTATTTATTTTTTATTTTAATCGACTACAAATTAAAAAAAAAAGATATTTAAGATACGATGGAAACTCGAAATAAAATGATTACACTAAACCACGTGGTGGTAGGAGGTTGGTATATGCTGGCGGGGCACCAATGAGGGACGATAAGTGAGGAAGAAAGCAGCTCAGTTAGTCCATCATGACGTGACGATTTGTTTAGTAAATTCCAAAATCATTCAATGATGTATTAAATTTTTTTTTTTTCAGACAACTATTCTCTGGGTTGACGCGATTGAAATCAATTCGAATCACCAACAACAGATTGAAGTTGATCGCTAGTGACGCGTTCAACGACGCAGGCGGCCTGGAGACGATCTACCTCTCCAACAACTCACTAACTCTCCGCCTCGATGGCGTCGAAATGCCCGATAAAGTCTCTACTTACGAGGAATTCGAGCTGCAGTCCCCGTTCAGTTCGTTGTTGCAGCTCAGAGAACTGGACCTCAGCAGCAACTCCATCACGTCCATATTCAGCGATTGGAGGTTCGTTTTGTTGAATCTGAAGAAATTAAACTTGGCCTGGAACCAGATCGGCGAACTAACGGTGAGTATCCTTGAATATTTTGAGTAGGAGTATGTTTGATTTGAATTTGGAATTAGAAATGGTTAACAAGCTCACGGTCACCATGTAAATCACAGGTACTGTGGTTACCGTACATGTGTTGTGATTCCTGACGACTAGAAACCTTAGTCTCTCTCTCTCTCTCCCTCACTCCCCGATATCGTAAACTTATTGAAAATAAAATGCAGCCCATATTACTTGCTGATAATGTGGCTTTGTATAGTTCAAGAATATTTATAATTAGTCAACTTTCTAGACTTAGTAGTATTAGCTGTGCGTTGATAGTCAGTCTAGGTGTCAGATAACATAGTACTAGATATACAAACATTATGTAGTACAGAAGTAATCGTATTCTTTTTCCTTTTCAGGGTGCCGACATCCAATTCTTGGGCTCTGAAATCACTATAGACCTTCGACACAACAACATAACCAACGTGGAAGTGATGGAAATGCCGCCCTGGCTCGCCGGAACTGGGTCTGCAACGAAATCCAAGGTGTTGCTCGACGATAACCCTTTCAACTGCGACTGTAACATGTACTCCTTCATCAGACGTCTCCAAGGTCTGTCTACAGCCGTCACCGCTGAGCCAAAACTGATTCCGGACGGGGCACGATGTGCAGCTCCGAACCATGTCAAAGGTGTCCCCATTCGCACGCTGCAGCCGGATGTGTTAACATGTAATCTACCAGCAGACGACTGCCCAACTGATTGCTCCTGCAATTTGAGACCAGCCACTAGTGAACTCGAATTTACCTGCCTTACTCTACCCAAACTGCCGGAACCTTCGTCTTATGGTTTATCAGCGACCAAACTCCGTCTAAATCGGCCTTCGACTAATTTGCTAGATCTACCAAAACACGTTACCACTTTGATTCTTACAAACGACAATCTGACAAAGGTACCGCTAGTGCCTTTTACTTTAAAAGAACTGGACCTGTCTGGGAATCTCCTGTCAAGAGTTCCATCGAAGTTACTGAAAGCGAACATCACTTTACGTCTGGCGAATAATCCGTTGAACTGCGACTGCGATCACATCGACGACGTTGTACTGTTACAAAGCAGTGAAGCGAAGGTCGCCGACGCGGCGAACGTCACGTGCATAGGAGGTGAAACGCCGTGGCTGGTGGACGCGGGCAGGTTGTGCGCGGTCCGACGCGCCGCCATACTGGGCGGCGCCCTCGCCGCACTTGGCATAATAGCGGCTATAGCCGCCGCTCTAGTCTACAAGTATTCGTCTGAAATTAAATTGCTCATATACTCCCGGGAGTGGCTGCGGTGGATGATACGAGAGGAAGACGTGGACCGCGATAAAATCTATGACGCGTTCGTTTCGTTCTCACATAAAGATGCGAGATTCGTCGCGGAACAACTGCTTCCGGGACTGGAGAACGGACCGAGGCCTTTCAAGATCTGTGTGCACTACCGAGACTGGGTCATCGGGGAGTGGATCCCGGCGCAGATCGCGAGCTCCGTGGAACAATCGCGGCGGACTATCATAGTGCTGTCCAAGAACTTTGTGGATTCCGTTTGGGGCAAAATGGAGTTCAGGGTGGCTCACTTGAGTGCTCAGAAGGAGAAGAGAACTAGAGTGGTCGTTGTACTTCTAGAGGACGCTCCGCCCGATGACCAGCTGGACGCGGAACTTCGGGCGTATCTGAAAACTAATACGTATGTCAAGTGGGGCGATCCTTGGTTCTGGGAGAAGATGAAGGTCGCTCTGGCTGGCAAGAGAGTTGATAAGAAGGCGGAGAAACGCGCCCGGCACATGGGAGAGAAGATCACGAAAGGCGGCCTGAACGCTCGCCTGAACAGTGAGGGGAAAATTATCAATGACAATAAGGCAGAGAAAACTGCTTTCACTCCGCCTTCTCTGTGATATGGTGTTTTAATTTCAATTTTACGTGTATATTATAAGGTTCAAATTACCTCGTTTCCCAAATCTGCGGAAATATGGTGCTTAAAATGGTAACTATTCGGAGCATGTCTCTCGAGGTTTAGGTAGTACAAATGTTAAAGCAATATAGCCTTTATTCAAAATAAAATAAAGCTTATATTAAAAAGGACGAGCTAGTCGAGCTTATCATTGCAATATAGACTTTATTTAGATTATTATTATGCTTTATTTTAGATTTTATTGTATTTGAGCCAATATTTGATAATATTTTTTAAAGAAATCTAAGCTTTATCTATAGGAGATAGTGTAGAATATTAATTGACTACACATTTGAGCCAAAATATTACTCATGTTAGTGTTAATTGAGATTATATGCAAACAGCTATAAAAATAGATGTACAATGCGATATTGGAAGCGTGTATCGGGCAGGGTGTACACTGACTTATGATGATTAGATAGGCCGTGATCTAGCTCTGAGGGAGGAGTCCACAGTTTCCGGAGACCTAGCAGGCCGGCGTGCATGCATGACGCGACTCACGACAGTGGATCTGACAAGAGATGTATGATGCATGTAAGGCGCCCGCTCCTCTCTGCGTGCGCTGATAGTAAAGTGAATCTCTATGCGATCAATCTCATTGTAACTGGTTTGTTTTCTCTTATATACAGAATGGACGCCACATCGTCGACTAACTAACGCTCAGGTAGTACGTGTTTGTTTTACAAGCAGTGGCGTAGCTACCGGAGGGCTAGGCGGGGCCGCGCCCCGGGACCTCCAAGCTTCCAAGCTCGGGGGACTTACAAGCTTGGACTGCTTTACGACCCATAAATTGAACTAGTAAACATTTCTTTCACATTCAAAATATATATAAACCAATAATGGCAACTTATTTGAAAAAAAATACATTTTGTGCAGCTATGTTTTGTAAAGAAAATCTGAAACTACATACTTCAAAAAAGTTCCTTGTTTTATAATTGTCTATTTGACCATAGTAACAAATGAAACCGTAAAGCTATCTATTTATAGAAAAATGAGCCATGTTCTAGAGGTATAAGATTTATTTTTATTTGCCTAGTTTGTAAGGTTTATCTCTGAGGTGCTTAGGTATTAATTATATATTTACCTGTATTGTATTCTCTCTATCAATTTCTTTAGCCATTATTTTCTGATCTTAATTTTTAATTTGCACTGAAATTAGAATTCCGTCCTACAATAGTCAAGTTTTATGCTATTATTTTGTATACACTGCGCCATCTAGTTCTTTAGTACTACTACTACTGTGTAGTACTGTGGTTTTACTATCGGTACGGATAGATGGCGTGGTATATAGTAATTAAGTATTTAATTTTTGTTTGACATAAATTACAGCGGCTTATTTGGTTTCTTCATAGCACTTGCATAATACATTTGTTAAGTTTTAGTACGTTGTTATAATTATGTCGAATTACAAACAGAACTGATTTATAGTAGTAAAATTACAATATTAACTGTTATATTGTTACCTAAACATTCAAAGCTTGTTCAACTGTGCATATCCATATATCTAGGTTTAACATATACAAGTGTACGATAATATCTCTCTATAAACACTTCGGCGATACAAAGTTGTGTTAATTTTGTCGAAGTATTTATAGAGAGTTTAATTTTGTGCATGCATAAGTCTAGTTCTGCATTCTGACCAATCGGTGTCGCTGTACCATTAATACATGTTGGGAATTTGTCAGCGCTTCATTTACATGTATAAAAATGTAAAATGTATATATTGTTTGTACATGTACGTATATAAGGTTCAAGAAATATAAAATATAAAAAAGTG